TTGGCTTATGCAGTGAGTGTAATGAGCTAGAGCCCCATCTTGCAGCAGTCAGAACATAATTTTCAACATGAATGATGAAAGACCTCATTCCTAGGCATTGACATGAAAAGTTTGCTTATTGTAGTGCAAAATGGAGTTTTGGAGGAAATAGGGTCTTTCCTATTACTTTTTGGCATTCAGACTACTCGACTAGATATATTTAGCATTTACTAGACTAGATAGATTAGATGGAACCCTAACTTGATTAATTTTATGTATTTTGTATTAAAGATTATTTCATTTTTGCATGGTTTGCATTAGCATATTCTTTGATGTCACCCATATACAATAGCATCATAAATTTCTCATGATAAATCCTTGAAACTGAAGCATGTATTACTATTATATATTTTTAAATTTCTTTTTAAAAAGCATTCTACATATGGTAACCTGTTTTTGTTGCAGGTTTCCCCAAGACGTGATCAAAATGGGTCAAGGGCAGGATGAGGATATTTGGAAGATGTGGTTGGATGTTTGCGCTGACTTAAACATGGACAAGAACACTGCTGAAGATGCTTACCAATCATACAACAAGATTTCTCAGAATTATACCTTGGAGGGCAATCCTCTGCACTGGCTCGCATGTGCCTTTTATGTTGCCTGCAGGAAAAGTTCAGTGCCGGCTGTTGGGAACAGTAGTTCTGTTGTTGAAGGGAATTATGTGTCCTTGATGCGCCTTCTGAAATCCTGCCAAATCTCAATCACTGATTTTTTCAAGAAAGCAAAGAAATGGGTTGATATGGCCAACTCTCCTGCAAGTTTCAGGGAGAAAATAGAGAGACTGGAGCATAACTTCGCTGTCTCAAAGGTATTATTTCAGAAGTTTATCCCCATTTTTCTCCAAATGTTCAAAGATCCTGCAAATGACCCCCCCCCCCCCTCCACTTTCATACTCTGTTTCATGATATCTTACTCCTTTTTCGGGGGGTGTCCAGACACCCAGGACACCCCCTCTGGCTACGTCCCTGATTGAAAATACCACCTTTGTAAGGGAACAGACAGCATAAGATAACCTGAGCTTAGTGACTTCAGTATGTGCAAGAAGTCAACATGGCTGATGCAGATCATCCCTCTTGTTCATGAGATACAAATGCCCAAAAATGTTGAGCTGTACTACCACAAGGCCCAATTTCATATCATTAGCCCCATCCAACTCCATGGTAAAATGCTTAGGAGTTGAATCCATCCCTATCTCATTTGGTAGAATAATGCTCTTTCTCCCTCTAAATAGAATATTATTGTATAGATCAATCTAGTTCATGAAAATTAAGTGAAATTCAATCATTCACAATGACTCCATTGACTTAATGAAGCCTCACAGAATGCTGGCATCAATGAGTAAATGTTAACAATCTCCTTTTCTACCCCATTATTGAATGTATTTTACCAGGAAAAAATACAATGGTAATTCCCTTTTTTCCCACTATCTGACTTGCACAGATATATCAAATTAAGTCCATAGTGCTGTGCAGTTTCCCAGAGGTGCTAGAACTTAGTATTCCTTCTGTTTGCCCCTTTTTTTCCATGAAACAGAGGACTTGAGAACCTGTTTACCATTATCTATGACACTTCACATTGTAGAAAAGCAGAATGGCTCATATGGTGATCAGTTCCCTTTGAATTTACACTGTGATACCAAATTCAATTATTGTAGTGGAGTTTGTGATGTCAGAGAAAATGTGCCCAAGTTGTTCTGCCCTTTTGTAACATGAATGCCCATGAAGGTGATGAACATGAGCACTCATCCATGCTTCCATTAATGTGGCAGGAATTCTGAGGCAGAGAATGGCATAATGCCCGTCAACTGGAGATGGCACTGCTAAAATTGGAAGCTTTTACTTTATAATATAAGAAATTGAAATGTAAGCTCACAGTAGAAAAGCATTGCTGGAGGTACATGTAGGAGAGCAAAGGCCAAGGAGGCCCAAATTTGTGTAGTGGCCAACTCCTCAAATGAATGCTGAATGAATTCAAGTGTTGTGTATTTTTGAGCAAGTTATCAATACCACTCTGTTTGTTGTGTGCAGGACTGACTCCTCGTGAAGAAGCAGAGAGAGCTTTGCGCAAGATAGGATCACCTGCAGACTCAAGGTATGCTGATGATGTGGCCACTTTGAAGCAGGTGGAAGATGCCATGAGGAACTCCATGGGTATGCATCCATTGCATGCATCCTGTATCTCTCACTGTTCTGCTAAAAGTAATTCACCTACAGATCTGTCTAATTGGACAATTCTTAAATTATGCTTATGGAGATTTTTATTTTCATGTGGCTGCTGCTGTTTTCAATTGTCCAGTATTTTGTCTGTATTGAGCTGATTGAGAGTTTCCCCTTTGCAGGGTCACATCTACCTTTGCTTGATCAGAGAGTCTCCAATGCATCTACTTCATAAATGGCTCCATGGAAAGTCAACAAGGATGCTGTGCTTGGATGAAGTATTCCAGCCATTTATGGGTGAAAGGCTCTGTTGTGATTCACTGGATTTACATCCACCTCTTTCTTGTTGTTGAGAGTTCATATAGGTCTATGTTTTCTTCAGTTGAAATTGGTTTCATTCTTGGAATGTGTTGAATCATATAAAATGAAGGTGGGTGAAAATTATGTACAAAACTTATACATTACTTAGTTTCCTTTGATATTGGCATACCTGTGTGGTTGTCTCAGTTGCATGTCTTGAACTTTGTGTCTCATTGATTTGAATTAATGGGTGGATACAGCTCAACTTGCCTGCAGGTTTGTGATCATCCCTCAGGAAAAGTAACTCATCCTAAATATGTAACTGTTTACTAATTTCTCCAAGAATTAACTATTGTTGCACACCTTTCAAAAATATTCTAAAATATTCTGTTTAGCAACTGTGCACCTTCAAAGAAATATGAATTTCTATTTCTTTAACCACCTCTCCAATGCAGAATTTGAGATGAAATTTCTTTCCATGTATTCCTTTTAAACGCTGTATCAGAAAGGCAGTTAGGTTGGCTGTATTCCCAAGATGATTGAATGTGTCTGAAAGATTTTTGCATCTTGTGTTATGGCAAGGCTGCTGCACATCAAGAAGATATCCACCAGACAAAATTGAATATTTGAATGACAGACCAGGGATCTGCATGGAATCACCATCTCCTAGTCCAATCTCTCCTGATTATGAATCAATCAAGGTTTAATGATTCCGATGGAGTTGATGGTGTTCCTTGTCTTTCAAAATGGAAATTAAGTTATAGCACTTTGTCAAATGCTGTTAAAGTCATTCAGCTCACAAAATGTAGGTCTCTGAGTTGCACTGATTGCCATCCAAAGTGGCAAGCAATTTTTAATGGCAAATTTCTCAACATGTAATAAACAAAATATCACATCCTTTCTGGTATGCTGAATTCTATTAAAATGTGTATTAGTCATTTACATTTGATGTGTTTCCAGCACATCATATCCATTTCTTTGGTGTGTCTCAGGTGTGCAGCACCCTTACTGGGGTGTTAGGACTCTCCTTTCTTGCTGAAAAGATGCTTCACAAGAAAGATACATTATTTTCTGAAACTTTGGAATTCATTATTAAATTTTGTTATACTTCAGGAAATGTAATGGCACCAAATTGTGGTTATGATTAGAAGCATGTCCCACTTGCCCCCACTCTTTTTTTTTAAGTTCATTAGGATTTGACCTGATGTGTTTGATTAAGCTCACATATGTTTGGTGTTAAGTTCTGCTTCCCTCCTTATCTTTCTCGTCCATCTGGGGAAAAAACAAACATTATCTCAAGAAGTTTACCAAAATTACATTGGAAAAGAAAAAAAAAAAAACACTTTTTTTAAAGTGATGATGAAAGAGGAAAAACTGCAAAGGGTCATGTCCATACAGTCTTCATATTGCATATCACTGAAGGGAATGAGGTATAGGCAAGAAACTAGCTGCTTTTCTGCTTTCTAGCTTTTGTTCTTTTGCTGTAAAATAGATGAGAACCAAGTTCATTTGGTTGAGTATTTAAAATCTTTACCACCTCTGCCATCATTCTTTCAAGGTGTCACTTTGATCCCTTCCCAAGGAACTTGAGTTCAGGGTGTCTCATAAGTTAGGTAACTCATTATGAAAAATGCTTGGTTTAAGGCCAGCATCTTTCTAAGTCTTTCAATAACCCTAGCCAAGGTACCAGCATTGAAAATGGTGGCAATCGTACTGTAAAATGGCTGCCATTTGTTTTCAAAGGGTGTTTCTCATAAATTTTTGTTTTGTTTCTTGTTAATGCCTATGTTTGTAAAATTGACTTTCTCCAATAGTTATTTCATTTAGAAAAATTATTTGGTTCTTCAATTCCATTTCTGTAGATCAACTGATGTGAAATTCATTTAAAGTTGAATATGTCAAAGTAAATTTTTGTCCTTTCACCAAAATGCAAAACTTAAACTTGGATTTCTATGAATAAGGGATGATGTACCAATTTTTTAAAAGTATTCCCTGACTAGAGGCACCCTGAGATTCAATACTTGCTCTGAGTCCCTCAACTTCATATATTGGTTGGTAGTATTTTGCTATGTGCAGGACTTAACACAAACAGATATGGGCTGTTTCATGTCTTGTTTGCTCCCAAGTGAAAACTGAGTCATTATTTGGCAGTAGCCATGTCAGTCATTACTCTGCATAAGCTGATTTCAGATGCCACAAATTTGGCCAAACTTTAGTTATTTCTCAGTCATTTGCTCAGAGTTCCCATGACTACATCGTTCATGTTTTCCCAGGAGCTTACATTGGCAAGCCATTTGATTGAAGTGGATCATCCCCCAATCAGGCTCAGATTTGGCTCAGAGAATGTAGCTGAAATCCCATTACTTGGAGGACCTTTAGACTTGAAAGTGTCAGGCCTTTGCTGCTGAAATGTTTGCACAAGTTAGCAGTGTTACCATCAGTTTAGAAAGCTGCAAAATAAGAACTGAATTGCCCTTGTGACCCAATTATGGGAATTTTTTTTTTTTCCAGTCTATAGCCATGTATGACCATCAATTGTTCAGTTGTGTACAATCACTAGTCTATGGGCTTTGAGTTGGTGGAAGCTGTGAAACAATGGTTGAAATATCATTTAGAAGGGACTGCAACTCAGCTCAAAGTGAACTCTCTCAGGTCTTTCATTGACCTTGAAGCTGTGAAAGGAATGCATATATCCATCCTTCTAGTTAATGTGGCTTTGTGTGGAACTGCAGCCAATTGGGACAGTCATTTTGATATCAGTTTTATGTTACCCAATGTTACCTGATGCCTCAGTCCTGATCTGATCCCAAATGCTCCTCTTGGCATCTCAGGATCAGGTTCAGATAATGCCAGAATATGAGAGTACCTTTGATGTGCAGTTTTGGCAAAGGAACATTAGTTACCTTTGAGATGAATCTGACTTTCAAGTTGGAACTATTGATTTATTAATTGTTCATTCAGCCTGTTCTACATTTTAGTGCAATTGCACCACATTTCCCAGAAGATGGAGGGTGATGCACAAGTTATCCAGCCATGCATCACACCTTTCTGCTAATCCAGATATTCAGAACTAGTAAAAAATAATTTTGCAGTCAAGAGAAGTAGGACACATGGCATCTCAAGGGTTAACATGATCTAGTTGAAGACTGACCCAAAGTTTGTCCATGTCCAGAATCCACTAGATGAGATTAACCCTATTGGGGGCTGCCATTTCCTATTGTCTGTGAAAGCCCAATCTTTTTTTCTCAATCTTGCCATCTGAGAAGCAGGTGGGTATGAGTAAGGAATACAGAGGTGCAGAAGAGACATTGCTTCAGCATTGATTTATGGCTAACCTCAGAATCATCGTACTTACTGGAATTAGGTTCAGCAATTCCTAGCTCACTGCAAGAAAAAGAGGTAAATTATGTTTTTTGGATGTTATCATTTCTCTGTCTTCCAAAATATAATATAGCTTATGTTTCCTTACAGTTGAGACCTCAATCTTTGATAACTGAAAGATAGTCTTGCTCAGGATTGTATCAGGGAACCATCATATGACATCTTGAATAAGCCAAACTTGAACCAAGTTGCCATGAGTTGATTGCCTCAAATTATGTCTGACCATTTGGAATGTTCTCACATGCACTTTTCCAAGTTTAATATGAGCCATTTATGGTTCATCACGGATTCAGACCATTCATTTCTGGGTCTTTACTAACTGTAAAATTTTGCACTTTGGCAGTCTGCTGAGTCAGAAATGAGCTAGAGCATCAACCACCAGATAAATACAGTTATATGCCCTTGTGCAATATTTTAATCTCTGCTACATTATCATTCTTTACCCATGCTTGTGTTTCTACTCTTTAGAAGTGTGTAATTTAGCTTGAAAAAAAAATTAAGTTCACCATGGTATGAAAGAGGCACTTGAAAGAGAAAAAGAGTTGTTGTGTGCTACATGAGTTTTCTCAAGGTTTTTCCATTCCATGACCTGAATGAATTGTTAATTGTTCCTTTTATCCTCTCTTCCTCCCTATGAGGCTGGATTTGTGTCTTGATTGTGGCCCATTCATGATCCATTCATGAGCTGCTTGATAGTCTTGTGTTTTGAAGGGATTGTCATGCCATAGTTGGTATGTGCTCAGTTAGTAGTGAGTCAGTAGTGAGTAGCAGCATTTCTCAAAATTTTCATGTATGCCCCCTGTAAACATCCTGGGCCAAAAGAGTCATTACTACCCCTTTGAGGGTTCCACCTGATGCTTGAGAACTGTTGAGATAGATCTTCATCTGATACTCTGTAGATAGGTCAGTATCTCCCTTTGATTGCAGACTTCTTGCAGGTATAAATTCATCAAACTCCTTGTAGTTTCTGAAAGCAGCAGTATATCCTTCTGAAAACGTGGACATTTTCTCATGTCGTGCATCTCATTTGTAATGTGTAATAATCTATGGGATACAACTGGACAAGTGTAGACAGACAGTCGTCATCACTTTCAGAATCACTTGCATTTTGCATAAGTGTATGCCTGCTTTGCTGCATTTTTTAAAACTTTGCATCTCAGGCCCATCTCATTCGAACATGCTCACAAAATCTGTCTATGGAGGTGATTCATCGTTGCTCAACTTTGAAGTCAGTCGGCCAGCTTCAGGCTCATTCAGAAGTCCTTGTGATTGTCAGTGCCTTTGTGGCGAAGCTGAAAGAAAAGAACTGAATGTGGATGCGTTCCACATCCAGGGACCATTCTTTCTGTCCTGTTACTGGCTACTTATCAAGATCCGACATTTCCTTTCCTGCAGGTCAGGTTGGCAGCATACTATGTGCTGACTTCTCCTGTGCAACTTAGAAACAAATTTATTAGTATCAATAATTATTATTCCTTTTGCATACATGTATCTGCTCATTGTCTCTATGGATGTTTCATCTTCTCTGTCCATACCAGTTGCTCATATAGCTCATCCTAGTCAAGCTGCTCATTCATAGATTCTAATTATATATTTGCAGTGTACATACTGCCTTTTTCGTAACTAGAATCCTTTGACCCGCTCAAGATGGTCCGTGGTATCATTCCCAAAATTAAGACTTTTTTCATTTACCGCATTCCACTTTCGCTGTCCAACATTCCTCGATTTTTGGCATTGGGTCTTGAAAGAGGATTATT